GGATGACAGGGATACGATCTGGATTTTGAAGAAAAAGGGATACTAGGAAGTTAAAACCTAGAGTAATTGTAGTTTCAAATACAGAGCTAGTACCAGACTGCTACCACACTCATGTGTGCATCTGAATACAAATTCCACCTCAGACAATGTCCAAATATCAATGTTAGGTGGTAGCCAATTCTAGGGTACGTTGAGACTAGCTAAGGCCAAGGATCTTTTATTGTAGATAGAAACTTGTCTAGGAAAGCTTGTAATAAGTTAGGCAGCCCAGATTCCGGCCACCCAACCACAGAAAAGTCAATTTCATGAATTTCAATCTTCTACAATAACAAGTATGTAAAATTACATTATATTGTTTGTTAATAAAAATAACCGACTGCCCTAGGTGCACAGCAACCATCATCCATCACCTCCCACCATTTTCAACCCTATTAAAAGAAATTGCATCAACTCAACCAAAACCCAATCACATTATCTGATTCTTTTTCCTTTAAATACTATGCCTCCTATTCTTTGCAGTCATCTAAATAAGCCTATTCCAGCCCATCACCTCTCTGAGTTTACCAGGGGGAGAATCCTTGGGTTACATGAGCCTCAGATGGGATATCAGCAGATTTATGACTACCTCAACATTCCCCTCACAACTGTCAATAACACAATCTCAAAGAAAGAATTAGAGGGCAAGGAGAGGAAGGGTAGAGGAAGACATCCTAAGACTACCAAGTTATAGGATGATGCTATGGTGGAGGAAACTCTTGAAAATCGCAATACAATCTATTTTGAGATTGTCCAAAAGGTGGCTCACAATGTTTCTTCTATGACAGTCAGGAAAAGACTTGCACAAAGGCATCTTAAAAAGTGATTAGCACAAGAGAGGGTTCACTTGGATGAGGATCTAGCTCTGGAGAGATTAGAATGGGCATTAGCTCATAGGCACTAGATAAGAGAAATGTAGAAAAGAAAGGCAATGTGGGGAGATGAGGTTACTGTTCAGAGAAGAGGAGAAAAGAGGAGAAAATAGTTATTTAGGTACCCAAAAGAGAAGTGGAATAAGGATTGTGTGGAACCTACTGCTAGGACAGGGGAGAGGAAGATTGGCCAGATGATGACTGGTTTTCTTTATGGTCAAACTCATGGTCTTTTTTTGCCTGTTTTTCCTAATTCTTCTTCTACTGGAGGTGGAGTAACTTGAAAGTCAATTATTGAGGTTTATGATCAATATGACTTTATAGGGATATGGAAGGATATTAAAGAGCATCTTGAGGGGGAAGAGGTTTTCTTTATCATTGATAATGCTAAGACTTATTTACCTTTTAGGAGATGGCTCAGAGGGCAGGGAATTACTCTTATGGAAATTCTAGCCTACTCACCAGATCTCAATTCAATTGAACATATTTGGACTCTGGTGAAAGATAAGCTTCAGAAGCATTATCCTGACCTATATCTCATGAAGGGCTCTGACAATAAAGTCAAAAAAGCTATTGAGGAGGTTATTACTACTTGTTGGAAACTTCTTGACTTAAAGATTTTTGATTCTCTATCAGGTTCAATGGTAGATAGGATTGGAGCAATCATTAAAGCAGATAGATAGTATACTAAATATTGGTTTCTACTATGTATTTACCTTTTTTTAATTTTTTTTTTGTTATTGTGATGTTGAGGTTAGTGAGGAGGTAGTTATTATATGATCAATTTATTTTTCTGTTTGTTGTAGTCAGTTATTTTTGTTAACAAACAATATGACTTAGAACTGCTAAACCTGCCATTCTAATATAAACTGCTGCATATTGCTAACATGAGTGCACCTGAGATTCACCTTGCCTCTTCTTCCCAGTTTTCTAGGTTGAATATGAGCTTCCATCACAGCTATCACCTCTGTATCTCACTTAATGCTTTTTATATTTATGAGTTAAAGATTAGGAACTACAGGAACTTTTTTTTCTTTCTTTCATTTATTTTTCAACTCTTTCAATCATCACTGTACTTACACCAAGAGTGTGGCTAGCTGTCACAACTATGGGCACTTCTCTAGAGTGCCTGATTGCTTAGTGTAAATTTATATAATAGTTTAATACAACTTTTTATCAGAACAGATTTGTGGCAGAATACAACTTTGCAGTACAAAGCTATTTTGTTTAATATAGTATTCAAGTTCAATATAGCATTATGGTAGAATGTATTCTTGTAGATTTATCTATTCTCAAGCTTATCTTATTTATGTATAATATATTATTGTAACAATCCCTCTTTGGATAGTTAGTTCTTGGCGATGGGAAAGGATACTTCTCTTCTTCTACTGTACGATAGCTCTTAGGCCTATACCTATGTTACTGATAGTACAAGACTAATGACTTCTATCTGTAACACCTATCGTAAGCTTTCTCTAACTCTATCTTGTTAATGAGACTCCACAAAGTACGATGAAAGTTAGCCAAAGCTATACCCATATGGGTATCAAGTGTAACCAGTACGGGTACTCGGTTATTAGTTTTGTTTTATGTTTTGTTTTAAGTATCACTTTGATACTTGGTTGTTTTAACTATCGTTTGATACTTACTTTTGTTTCGTATTATGTTTTAAGTATTGCTTTGATACTTGGTTGTTTTAAGTATCGTTTGATACTTAGTTTTGTTTTATGTTTTGTTTTAAGTATCGCTTTGATACTTTATTAGTTTTACCAAAGTGTATCAATTGATACCTTTGATGAGTTTCGTTCATGCTAGACATGAACAGATTTGTGTATTTAAAGACTGCCTGTTTCTACGATAGAAAAGGCAGACTTCGACAGACAGTATTTCAATATACTTGGTTGAACGGTTACTTCTTTGTTCCTCAGTACACCCTCGAAGCCTCCTTTAGTTCTCAGCTCTCGCCTCCTCTCTGGAAGAGCAGGCCACCTGCCAACTATCGTATCTATTACCAATAACATGATTAGCACCTTACGAACACGTTACATTAAGAGACTATCGCAGGAGGAATGGTGGTAGACCAGAGTCTACCCAGTAGAGGTACTGTTGGTTAGGTACCTCAGTTGGACATGCTATACCATATTAAGAAGTATATAAGTACTAGTAAGGAGTGGTGGTTACCCTACTGGGTAGGGTAACCCAAGTAGTCAATTTGGGAGTTATCTTGAATTGCTTGACACTGAATCTTGGTAGAGTTACCCTACCTTCAGACCAGAGTAACTA